GCCTGACCGGCGTGCGCGGCGGCGGCGAGCTGCACCGCCCGCTGCACCACCAGGCTGTGCCCCTCCAAGTACCACGTCGCGCGCGTGAGCCCCTCGAGCGCCTCGCCCGGCACGCGAGCGCCGTCGGCCAAATCCGGCCGCCCCTGCAGACCGGCGAGCTCGAGCCACTCGCTCGCGGACAGGGTGGCGGCGGCGCTCGAGGCGGCGCCGTCCGCCGCCGCCCACTGGCTCGGCGGCGGCCGGCCCCTCTGGTCGTCCGGGAGCTGCTGCTGCGGCCGCGATCCGCCGGGCCCGAAGAGCGCGACGGGACGCGGCGCCCTCCTCGCGGCGACGCGAGGAGCGGCGACGGCGGCGGGAGCGGCGGGCGCCTGCTGCACGGCGAGCCCGTGGAGAGCCGCCGCTGCCGCCGTCGCAGCCACGAGCATCAGTCGCTCACGTCGCTCACTGTGAGTGGCAGCTCACCGCGAGCTCAACCAGCAAGTTTGGGCATGTTCATCGAGGTTCTCAAAAAACAAAAAAAACCCAGGAAAATAGGAATTTCTGCTCAAGAATCGTTTTTACGAGAACGTCGCCTCGAGACAATGGTGCGCGCGCCCGCCCCGCCCGCGCCCACGGCGGCCCGCGCGTGCGCGCGCGCGGTAGTAGGAGTAGGCTGCGGGTCGTATCACGCCGGTGGTGCACCACCGGTTGCTGATCCTCGGGAGCAACGAACCGAGCAGCCACACAATGTGCGCCAAACAGCAACACATTCAGCGACTAGGAGAGCACCAGCCGAGGTGCTGCCCGCCGAGGCCCGAGCACGCGAGGAAGCGCGAGACGGGGCGGCGTGGGGGCCGCCCGGCGAGCAAAAACACGGGCGCCGCCCGCGGCTCGCGCGGCAAGAAGGCGAGAGGGCGAGAGGGCGAGAGGGCGAGAGGGCGGAGAGGCCGAGAGGGCGGAGAGGGCGAGAGGGCGGAGAGGGCGGAGAGGGCGGAGAGGGCGGAGAGGGCGGAGAGGGCGGAGAGGGCGGAGAGGGCGGAGAGGGCGGAGAGGGCGGAGAGGGCGGGCGGAGAGGGCGGAGAGGGCGCAGAGGGCGCAGAGGGCGCAGAGAGGGCGGAGAGGGCGGGCGGAGAGGGCGCAGAGGGCGCAGAGGAGCGCGCGCGGAGACGGCGCAGAGGAGCGCGCGCGGAGACGGCGCAGAGGAGCGCGCGCGGAGACGGCGCAGAGGAGCGCGCGCGGAGACGGCGCAGAGGAGCGCGCGCGGAGACGGCGCAGAGGAGCGCGCGCGGAGACGGCGCAGAGGAGCGCGCGCGGAGACGGCGCAGAGGAGCGCGCGCGGAGACGGCGCAGAGGAGCGCGCGCGGAGACGGCGCAGAGGAGCGCGCGCGGAGACGGCGCAGAGGAGCGCGCGCGGAGACGGCGCAGAGGAGACGGCGCAGAGCACTTGCCAGTGCAGCCGTCCAAGTAATGTTGCTGGGTGCTTGGCGAGTAATGGGCTAGTAAATAAATAAAAACGCACACCTCTCTACTGTGAGATGGGTAAAAAGGAACAGGTCCCCGCTAGTGCCGTCACGGCGATAGGGGAACGCAGGTAGAGAGGCGGCACCTGTGACACCAAAGACCAACACGATGACACAACGCGTGAAAAACCATTCATTCTGACCAGCCACCGAGCATACTTGTGTGGACGTTTCGGGCTCCTATCCCCCGCCCCGGATCCGTGGGCGATCGCACACGCGGCTGGGGGGCACGGCGCGAGGTGCCAGGTGGCGCTTACCGCTGAAAAGGAGGTTTTGGAGCCCCTAAACGCGTCATAATAGCCGCACGTTTGCACTCGCCGTGCCTTGCCACCTCCAAACCGCGCTCCCTCCTTCAGTTTTAAGGCGAATCGGGTGGCGAGCTCGGCGGCAACAGCCTTGGCTCGACATCTTTACTATGTTGGCGAGAAACGCATAAGCCCCCCAGGCGAAAATAGCGGAAACGGCTGAATCAGAGGTAGCGCACGGGGGGCTTATGCGTTCCGCGGGGTTGTATGTTTGAGCCGGATATCGACTTGTGTCCCGAGGGGAAGGTATCGAACTGCCTTAAAACGGAAGGGCACGTCCCTGTTCACGCGATGGCCAGCCGTGGTGTGAGCCGAAGGGTCGGCGAGAGTCGGCAGGCCAGCAGAGCGCTTGCTCAATATTGGCTCTGACGCCGTGCCAGTAGTCGGCGCGCCGCGATCTGCATACCTGTTCGTACCTCTACAGTAGTGCGGCCGCGTGTATTGCTGTTCGGCGAACCGCATTCCGCTCTCTCGACCGTGAGGCCAGTTGGCGGGCGCACGAAGCGCCTGGTTTGTGCGTCGAGCGGTGAGCTCACTACAGATACCGTCCGAGCCCGATGCACGCCAGGCGTCTCATTCCAAGCCCACTACGCATTCCCACGCGCTCAGGTGCCGCTCGGACCCCATCTTTGAGCCGGCTACCTCACGACAACGCAACTCGGCGCTCTCGATGTGCGCGCTAGGCAGTCTCGACGCCGATTACAGCCGAGCGCGCACGACTCGTAGGCGTACCGGCGTGCCGCTGGCGTACTACGCGACGGTGGAGGCGCGTGGGCTTGCTCAAAAGGCATGCATCTGTCGGAGAGTGTGCCGCAAGACCTGATGTGCCTCCGCTCCAGGTGTGTGGCAGTTCGATGGATCCAGCCCAGCGACCTCTACGTGACGATTGAGGACTGCTCTTCCCCTTCGGCCGAGCCTCCAGTCCCTGCCACCGTGCACTGGCGCCAGCGAGCTGCACTCATATCCCGCACGCGCGATCGGCAGTCGAGTTATAACCCGCAGCTGTGCAGTGCGTGCGCACCACGAACCGTTGTTCGGCGATCTCCTTGCCGCCGCAGCCCTCGCCGCCGCAGCCCTCGCCGCCGCCTCCGAGCCCGCCGCCTCCCTCGCCGCCTCCACCGTCGCCGCCCCCACCGAGCCCGCCGCCGCCGTCGCCGCCGCCGCCCTCGACGCCGCCGCCCTCGACGCCGCCGCCCTTACCACCGCCACCGCCACCGCCGCTGCCCGGCCCGCTGCCGCCGTCGCCGCCGTCGCCGTCGCCCCCCGACGGCGCAGCGGCGGCGCAGCCACCCGCTTACGGCATCGTCTTGGGGTTGTGCTCGCGCCGGCCGACCTCGCCGAGCCGCTAGCGCGCGCGAGGGAGGCAAGTGCGTTGCGCCGCTCAGCGGCCGTGGAGGGCGAGCGCGGGGGATGCGCGCGCTTACTAGTAAGTGCTACATTGTGCGTGCTGTATGTCGGTCTGCACACTGTACAGTGCCACGGTGCCAGTGGGGTGTGAATGTGAACACTGACCCTCACACACTAAGGGTTGGTCAACCATGTGGGTGTCTATGTGTTTCCCTCGGGCAGTAGATTCTTAAAATTTCATCGTCAAAAAGCGCCCGTATTCACTTGCCAAAATCGCGACCCGGGGTGTTCGACCGGGCTATTGTGTGTGTGTGTATGTCGTGATCCTGAGCGGAGAGATCTGAGATGACGTGTGAGTGTTAGAGTTGTTTTTGATCCTGTCCTATACGAGAGAGGAATCCCTGGGACCCTGTCGTGTGGGTGAACCCTGCCCAGCCCCCCTCCGTGTCGCGATGCGCTCCCCGCTCCCGTTCCCCTGTGTCCCTGATCGTCCTTACAAGATCCTGCTCGTGCAGGTGGGGACCCTGTCCTTCTCCCACCCCTCGTTTGGCGTGCCCGTTTTATTTATTTTATTTATGATCCTGTGTGAGAGAGATTTTTACATTTTAGCAATACCAGTTGTTTATGTGTGTGGACTTAAATGTCACACTTGCTTGACGGCCTCTACGTCTATGGATTAGTAGACCGGCGGTGGATTACTGATTTATTCTTCACTACCCTGATGGCCTGAACACCTTGCCTATCAATATCATCATCGTTCATCGATGGTTGCAACTGAAAAAACCTCAAAGCCCTGGGAGCCCTCCCCCTACTGTTTGCGGCTATTGCTCAAAACTTCGGGAGACGCCTACATATTATGACTGCATCCATGCGCCTGGTGCATGAGGGCTGCGGGACGAGACATATCACGGTCGGTGGCGCCGGTGATGGCCTCCGGAATGCCCTCGCAATCGCCTCGGATGGGGTCCACCGGAGACAATCTCGAGCCCTCTCCGTGGCATCACGAGCCGGTGTGAGCTTGCAGACCCAAGATAAGTGCGGTCTGGGACGGCTTAGGCTTGCTACTGATGGGCCTGGGCCAGGAGGGCGACAGAGACGGCGAGGTGGTGCGCTGAGAGGCTGGAGCGTCCGCGTGTGACCTTGTCGCGATGCAAGTGCCAAAAAGCGAGAGAGAAGGTCAGGTATGGCGTCAGCGCACTCGCGGGTCGCATCCAGCACAGTTGCTTTTTGCGGCGAAGGGCCGACTCAGTTTGCGGCTTATTGCGACACGCACACGTGCCGACTCCCCAGCCTGTCAGCTCACCACCTCGCCTTCCCTGCCGCTCTCCTGGCCCAGGCCCATCAGCACCAAGCCCGAGCTGTCCCGAGCCGCGCTTATCTCGGGTCCCCAAGCTCACACCGGCGCATAACACCCCACACGAGGCTATTCCATGCCTGTTTTACCCTCAGGCAGCGCCGGCAACGGACTCCTACTTCACACATGATCAAGCACAGCCCCACCAAAGCACAGCCCTGCTCAGAGTGGCCATGGACCACCACTTGACGACCCAGGCAGCCTCTGGCTCGCCACTTCACTCGGCTCTTTTCCAGCCGTCTCGGGCCCGCCCCCAGCAGCACGCCGTCTGTGAGATCCAGCAGTGGCATGATTACTATGACCGCAACCTTCCGAAGCTCTGCTCCTTTTGGGCGCCCTCCCGGACCAGCGTCGCGAGGGCCCACGGGCGCCCCCCTCCCGCTGGAGCGCGCGCCGCTTCTTGTCTGTAGGCGCGCCAGACCTGCAACCGCGTCGCGAACGGCTCGTGCCCGTACCGCCCCTGCTGCGGCGTGTTTCGCTTCCCCGAGCTGGCGTCCACCCAGCCCGAGCTGCTCTCGACGCTGGTGCGGAAGCTGCATGCGGAGGGGGCGCTCGGCTGCATGCGCGACACGTCGGACGAGATGGAGGAGATCCGCGAGGCGCGGCGAGATGACACGAGATTGCACGAGATTGCACGAGATGGAGGAGATCCGCGAGGCGCGGCGAGATGACACGAGATTGCACGAGATTGCACGAGATGGAGGAGATCCGCGAGGCGCGGCGAGATTACACGAGATTGCACGAGATTACACGAGATGGAGGAGATCCGCGAGGCGCGGCGAGATTGCACGAGATTGCACGAGATTACACGACACGTCGGACGAGATGGAGGAGATCCGCGAGGCGCGGCGAGATTACACGAGATTGCACGAGATTACACGAGATGGAGGAGATCCGCGAGGCGCAGCGCCACTCTGTCCAGGACGACCCCCCCCCCCCTCTCTCTCTCGCTAATGAACGATGACGAGTGCGCGTTGGCGACTCCTAGGCTCTGCGCGATTCGCAGCGCGGATCGAGGAACGAGGCGATCCGCAACCGCTACCACGGCGCCGAGGGCCGTGCAAGCTCGCCGCAGAGCACGCGGACACTTGCCGCACGCACGGCCCGGCCCCTTTCCTAGGTACCGAGGGCGGCATGTCGCGGACATGTCGCGGACGCGTCGTGGACGTGCCGTGGATTGTTCCTAGGTACCGAGGGCGACAAGCTGGCGGCAAAGTACCTCGATAAGGCGCAGAGCATGGCGGCGCTCACTCCGCCCGAGGACCAGGGCGTCGTCGCGCTCTGGGTGGGCGGACCCCACCGCCGACAGCACGCTCCCCCCCTCCCACAGCGCGCGTGAGTGGGCAAGTGTTTGCTCGTCTAGGTTGGCGGTCTCACCGCCGATATCACGCAGCAGGACTTGCGCGACGCCTTCTACGCGTACGGCGAGATTGCGGCGGTGCGGATGCAGAGACGAACCACACAGGCGGACACGGCCGGGTCGTGGCGGAGAGACGGGGGACCGGGCCCGTGCGGTCGTTAGGTGCGGATGAAGCCGGAGCGGCGCTGCGCGCTGATCGAGTACACGCTGCGCAAGTCGGCAAAGGAGGCGGCGACGGCGCTGCACCGGCGGCTGGCGATCAAGGGGGCGAGGCTCCGAGGCTGAAGCTCTGGTGGGCAAAGTCGCAGCAGGCGGCCGACAACGCCGACGCGCGGAAGTACGTGAGCCAGGCCTACGGCGCGCCGGTGCCCCCGCCGGGCGAGGTTGCCGCCTTTGGAGCGGCCGGCGGCGCGTCGCTGTACCCGTCGATGAACCCGAGTGCGATGGGCGCGCGGCCCGACGCCAGGTAATGGCGATGTGGTGGCGGTGGCGAGGGTGATGCGTCGCCGCCGAGGGCGATGCGCGGCGCGGCCGAACACTCTGTGCGGCGGAGAGCGGAGAGGCGGTGGAGACGGGGGGGGCGAGGCGGGCGAGTGCGAACATAGTCGCACGCGAGGGGAGACGTTTTGGGAAGAATTTCACAATGGGTGGAGCACTTGGATCACTCACATCCAAAGAAAGAAAAGTGGAGTTGAGGGATTTGCTAAAATTCTAAAATAACAAAAAGAAGAAGTAGTGCAAAAAGAAATTCGCCGCGTTGTTTCGGCGTTGTTTGGGCGCTGCCTTCGCTGTGTCTCCGCTGCCTTTCATGCGCCTCCTTCTTCTGCTCTGCCTTCTTGCGGGGCTCGCGATCGCCGAGAGCGGCACCACTCTCAAGGGCCACACCCTCGGCTCGGACTCGGTCGTGCACGCCAGCATCGACCTCGACGGGCACTCGACGGAGGCGGCGCGCTCGGCGCCACCTGGCTTTGAGACGGTTGGGAGCACCTCCCAGCCAGCGTGCGGCGCCAGCCGCAACATGCTGGGCGTCCCGACCGACGTCCAGCGCAAGATCGACAACCGCGGCAGCCTCGGCGGGCCGCGCAAGACCTGTTCCGCCTTTGACGGCTGCCGCGGCGGCGGCGACTACGCGGAGAAGATGGTGAGTGTCGAACTCGCCGGCGCCGGCGCGGCCGGATCGAGCGCACATCACGTGCCGAACGCCTCTGCGTCGCTCGGCGAGGACGCGTGCGCGGAGGCGGCCAAGAGGAAGAAGTGCGTCATGAACGAGTGCGCGTGCGCGACCAGCGAGTCTTGGGACGCCTCAGGCACCTGCGGTGCCGACGGCGGCGAGACATTGGGGCAGTCACGGCCGACAATCGAGATCGCGCAGGGCGAGAAGCTGCTCCAGGCCGGCGCGCGCGGCTTCGTGCGCGCCATCGTCGACAAGATCAGCACCTTAGTGGCGGTGACGCAGCAGGGCCCGCTACGCTCTGAGCGCATGGCTTGCGCGGACCTGTCGCAGATGAACGCGGCGGAGGGCGCCGTCCTGACGGCGGCCGTGCTGCCCTTCGCCCACGAGTACGGCGCGGCGGCGGCCGCGACCACCAGCGGCCCCATCGCGGGCGACACGGATCACGGCCGGTTCGACCTCAGCCAGTGGCTCAGCGGCGGCTGCGCCGGCGGCGGTTGCGGCGGTGGCTATGGCGGCTCCGGCGGCGGCAGCGGCGGCTCTGGCGGCGGCGGCGCAAGCAGCCGGCAGGCGACGGAGGCGGCGCTCTCGACAGCGCGCCGCACCCAGCGCTCGCTCCAGAGCGCTGGCACGCACGGCGCGATCATCGGACGAAAGGGGCGGACGGTGCAGACCTTTGTGCACCCCTCGAGCGCGTCCGAGCTCATTGGCGCTGAGACCGCCCCTTCAACGGCCGCTGTCGAGGCGAACCTCGCCGTCGGCGGGGCTGAAGTCATCGGCGAAGAGCACGGCCTCGCCGCACAGCTCCACGCGGGCAAGGGGCGCGTCGGCACCGGCGGTGGGAGTGGCTCCTCCCCACCCGGCCTCCTACTGGGCAGTACGTCCAGTCCCGGCGCTGACAGCGACGTGGTCATCGACCCTTCGTCGGGCGTGACCGCGACTGTCCGCGCGAGCGCCATGGCGCACCCCACTGGCACGCGGGCGGCGGCGGCCCGTGCGGCGTCCGCCGTGCAGGGCAGCAACACGAGTCGGCTTGCGTCTCCCAAGGCGCTTCCCTCTGGCAAGTTGCCAGACGCGGCAGAGCCCATCCTCCCCTGCCGCGCCGACGACGGCGAGGCGCTGGGCACGTCGTGGGCCACCGGGCAGCAGCAGCTTCGGCCTACGCAGGGCGAGAAGCTGCTCCAGACCGGCGCGCGCGGCTTCGTGCGCGCCATCGTCGACAAGATCAGCACCTTAGTGACGGTGACGCAGCAGGGCCCGCTGCGCTCTGAGCGCATGTTGGAAGGACTGCTGGAAGACGTCAAAGAGGCGGTGGGCGAGCCGTTGCGCGTGCTTGGCGAGCCGCCGGCGTCCGTCAAGGACGTTTACGAGAAGCAGCCGGCGAGCGCCCCTCGGCTGTTTCTGTGTGCGAGCCTTAGTAGCCCGCGCATGACGGATTGCCTGTGTGTTTGCGTGCAGGGCGATGCCGAGTTCGGCTCTACGATCAGTCCCGTCTACAGCAGCAGGACGGAGAGCATCGCTCGGGGACGCGAAAACGTCCTGCCAATGAACGACACGTCGCCCGAGTTGCGGCCCGCCGACGCTGGGAAGCCCGAGAAGCTGGTTGAGACTGGGCTCGGCGCGCCCGTCTCTAGCATGCACGCCGGCGGCGAGTGGCGGGCGAACGACGGATTGGCGGACGTTTCTCGAGTCCCAACCAAGGATCGCTTCCTCCAGCTTGGCCGGGCCGTCGACCCTCTTCTCGCGGCCACGCTTGAGGAGCCGGCGTGGCCTGCAGAGGTCCGCGCCGCTCAGATCGCCGATTCGAACGCGGTCGAGTCTATCTTCTCGGTCTTAAGTGTGTGCGCCTACTGGCAGCCACGCTGCGCCGCGCCGGCGTGGCAGGTGGAGCCTCGTCACGCGCTCATCGACGAGCTCTACAAGACCGACAAGCCTCCCGCGGGCCCGCCGGCCGACGAGCTCTCCATCGGCAAGCCCTCCCCGTTCCACTTTCCCTTCACAAGCGGACCCTCCTCTTCCGCGCTTGGCCGCACCCAGCAGCGCGGTCAGCTTTGGGCCGCCTTATTCTTGCTGCTCGGAGCATGCGGGCTGCTCTCGGTGCGGGCGCGGTGCCGGACGGGGGCAAGACGCGGCGCGTGGCTGTTTCTTCTCGTCGCGCTGCTCCCGCTGGCATGTGCACCGTCGCCGCCGCCGCCCTCTCTGCCCCCACACTCTCCGCCGCCGCCACAGTGCATCTCCGCTACACCCTATGTCGGGGCATTCACCAGCAGTCCCGACACTTGCGACAGCGAGCTGCCAACAGATTGGTACCGAGCCCCCTCCGGCTACAGCATCATTCCAACCTCAGCCCCGCCGAGGTCGACATGCGGCACCTCAGCTACCGGCTGGCTCAGGTACACTGACGGCAGCACCTTCACATACCCGACCGTGTACGGCCAAACATTCTCGGGCGTCAGGGCTTGCTTCCACTGGTCGAGCAGCACCTGTCAGTGGTATTCCGACGGCCTGCAGGTCACAAACTGCGGAAGCTACCACGTCTTCTACCTCCAGCCCGCGACGACATGTAGCCTGGGCTACTGCTGGGCGAATCCTCCTCCGCCGCCGCCGCCGTCTCCGCCCACTTCGCCCGCTCCGCCGTCTCTTCCGCCGTCGCCCCCGCTGCTGCCTCCCGCTTCGCCGTCGCCGCCCCCTTTCTCTCCGCCGCCGCCGCCGCCCTCTCCGCCGCCTCTTTTACCCGACATGGTGCAGCTGAGCTGTGATTTCGAGGTCGACGCTTGCGTCTGGAACAACACCGCGCCGGACGGGTACTTTTGGACGCGCTCGAGCGGCGGCACGCCATCGTCCGACACAGGCCCGAGCGGCGACCACACCACTGGCTCGGGCTACTACCTCTTCACCGAGGGCTCTGGGATCAACAACAAGCTGCACCAGCTCGAGAGCCCGCTCTTCTCGCTCCAGCAGGACGCCACCCTCTCCTTCGCTTACCACATGTACGGCTCGAGCATGGGCACCCTCTACTTCGAGGCAAACAACAACGAGACGGGCTGGTCGACACTCTGGAGCAAGACCGGCGACCAGGGCGACGCCTGGCTCGACGCGGCGGTCGTCCTGCCCGCCTCCACGACACAGGTGCGTTTCAACGGCCGGACGGGGCCGAGCTTCCGCTCGGACATGGCGCTGGACGACGTCTCCTTCTCGCAGCTTGTGCCTCCGTCGCCGCCGCCGTACCCTCCGGCCAAGGCGCCGGTCCCGCCGCCGCCGCCGCCGCCGTCCCTTCCGCCGCCATCCCCGTCGCCGCTGCCGCCGCCGCCGCCGTCTCCTTCACTCCCGCCAACACCGCCGCCGCCGCCCTCTCCGCCGCTGCCTCCTCCACTACCGCCATCACCGCCGTCTCTGCCACCAGCACCGCCGCCAACCTACGCCGCGAGCACCTTCACCGAGCTACGCGACACGGTGAACAACCAAACCGGCAGGCCTGGCGCCCTCGTCGTCGAGCTGCCAGAGGGAGCCCGCCTCGAGTGGGCCGTCTGCTCGCAGCTGCGCGTGCACGTCGCGCACATGATGCTGCGGAGCGTGGGCGCCGGCGCAACCCTCGACGCCAGGAACTGCTCCCGCCACTTTGACGTCGCCTTTGGCGGCACGCTCGAGCTCGAGCGCGTGCACCTCGTCAACGGCGGTGCGCAGGCGAGTGGCGGGGCGGTCAAGGTGCGGCACGGCGGGACTCTGATTGCGACCGAGTCGTCGATCGAGGGGTCGAGCGTAGTCTCGCTCGACGGGGCGGCGTACGGCGGCGCCATCGACGCCTCGAACGAGATGGCGATTGACAAGGTGCTGGAGAAGCTGGACGCACACCACAGCAACGGCATCGACTCGGTCGCCTACTCGCCCGACGGGAGCCGCATCGCCACGGTCGGCGGCTATCCCGAATATGCGTTGCGCGTGTGGGACGCCTCGGACCTGTCCTCGCCGTTGCTGGAGAAGCCGAACGCACACAGCGGCTGGATCTACTCGGTCGCCTACTCGCCCGACGGGAGCCGCATCGCCACGGTCGGCGAAGACAAGGCGCTGCGCGTCTGGGACGCCTCGGACCTGGCCTCGCCGTTGCTGCCGAAGCTAAACGCACACAGCAGCACCATCAGATCGGTCGCCTACTCGCCCGACGGGGGCCGCATCGCCACGGTCGGCGGCTATCCCGAATATGCGTTGCGCGTGTGGGACGCCTCGGACCTGTCCTCGCCGTTGCTGCCGAAGCTAAACGCACACAGCGGCTGGATCTACTCGGTCGCCTACTCGCCCGACGGGAGCCGCATCGCCACGGTCGGCGGCTATCCCGAATATGCGTTGCGCGTGTGGGACGCCTCGAACCTGTCCTCGCCGTTGCTGGAGAAGCCGAACGCACACAGCAACGGCATCAGATCGGTCGCCTACTCGCCCGACGGGAGCCGCATCGCCACGGTCGGCGAAGACAAGGCGCTGCGCGTCTGGGACGCCTCGGACCTGTCCTCGCCGTTGCTGGAGAAGCCGAACGCACACAGCAACGGCATCAGATCGGTCGCCTACTCGCCCGACGGGGGCCGCATCGCCACGGTCGGCAGCGACAAGGCGCTGCGCGTCTGGGACGCCTCGGACCTGTCCTCGCCGCCTCTGCAGAAGCTGGACGCACACAGCGGCGGCAGCATGGAGTCTATCACCTCGGTCGCCCACTCGCCCGACGGGAGCCGCATCGCCACGGTCGGCCACGACAAGGCGCTGCGCGTCTGGGACGCCTCGGACCTGTCCTCGCCGCCTCTGCAGAAGCTGGACGCACACAGCGGCTACGGCATCTCCTCGGTCGCCTACTCGCCCGACGGGAGCCGCATCGCCACGGTCGGCCACGACAAGGCGCTGCGCGTCTGGGACGCCTCGGACCTGTCCTCGCCGTTGCTGGAGAAGCCGAACGCACACAGCAACGGCATCTACTCGGTCGCCTACTCGCCCGACGGGAGCCGCATCGCCACGGTCGGCGGCTATCCCGAATATGCGTTGCGCGTGTGGGACGCCTCGAACCTGTCCTCGCCGTTGCTGGAGAAGCCGAACGCACACAGCAGCACCATCACCTCGGTCGCCTACTCGCCCGACGGGAGCCGCATCGCCACGGTCGGCCACGACAAGGCGCTGCGCGTCTGGGACGCCTCGGACCTGTCCTCGCCGTTGCTGGAGAAGCCGAACGCACACAGCAGCACCATCACCTCGGTCGCCTACTCGCCCGACGGGAGCCGCATCGCCACGGTCGGCAGCGACAAGGCGCTGCGCGTCTGGGACGCCTCGGACCTGGCCTCGCCGCCTCTGGAGAAGCCGAACGCACACAGCAACGGCATCTACTCGGTCGCCTACTCGCCCGACGGGAGCCGCATCGCCACGGTCGGCGGAGATGCGCTGCGCGTCTGGGACGCATCGGACCTGTCCTCGCCGCCTCTGCAGAAGCTGAACGCACACAGCGGCTACGGCATCTCCTCGGTCGCCTACTCGCCCGACGGGAGCCGCATCGCCACGGGCGGCGAGGACAAAGCGCTGCGCGTCTGGCCAATACCTTACTTGTACCTGCAGCGTGACCCGCAGCTCCCGCCTCATGTTGAGCTGACATCCGTCTTCGTCGTTCGTTGCGCCGCCATCGGCTACGAGCGCGCGAGCGGCGGTGGGCTCTCGTTGCGATCTGGCGATCACGCCCTGTCCGCCTCCACGATCACAGCGAGCGCGGCCACCTCCAGCGCCTCGGCATCGGGTGGCGGACTCTTTGTCCGCGCCGCGACGTTCGCCATCCAAGGCGCCGCCTTCGTTGACAACGTCGCCACCGTCGGCGCTGCCATCGCATATGAGTCTGGCCCGACCTTTGACGCGGTGTCAAGGGTGAGCAGCACGCGATTCGTGGGGAACGGCGCGAGCGCCGTCTTCTTTCCCGCGTCCATCACCTGGGGGTGCAACCTCGGTCAGTGGTCGTTGCCGATGGGCGAGGTCTCTGGCGACTTTGAGGGCTGCGCTGAGACTTGTCGCGCCGGCGTCTACGGCAACACCAGCGACCTCACCTCTGGCCGCTGCAGCGGCGATTGCTGGAAAGGGCACTTTTGCCCCAACGGCACAGTGGCACCAACACCCTGCGCAGCGGGCTTCTACATGCCTGTCACCGGCGCAGCCCGTGCAGAGTCGTGCATCCCATGCTCTCCGGGGCACAGCCAGTCCAATCCTGGCGCAGACAGCTGTGACGCCTGTCCGGCCGGCACATTCGCGAATCAGCTCAACGCGACCAGCTGTACGGACTGCCCCGCGGGCAGCTTCTGCCCTTATAAAGGCACCATTCAAGCGCTCGAGTGTCCTGCGGGCCGATACCAAAATGAGACGCGTCGGACCGAGTGCACACAGTGCCCCCCCGGCCAATTCCAGCCAGAGCGCGGGCAAACCTCATGCGACAGATGTGATGCGGGAGGGTACTGCGATGATACCGAGGACTGCGGCGGCGGCTTCACGCCGTGCCGCGCGGGGACGTACAACGAGGAGGAGGGAAGCAGCTCGTCCGACGACTGTCTGCAGTGCCCCCCTGGTACCTTTAGCCCGACCTCAGGAGCTGACAGCAGCGGCACGTGCAAAAGCTGCCGTGCTGGGACCTTTGGCGCCAGCCCCGGGCAGAGTGAATGCAAGGACTGCCCTCCCGGCACCTCGTCGAATCAAGGCAGCGTCGCGTGCGACGAGTGCGAGGCTGGCAAATACGCCGCCAACGCTGGCCAAGGCCTCTGCAATCTATGTCCGCATCCCCTCAGCTCGGCCAACGGCAGCGTCACCTGCTCGTTTTGTAAAACGGAGTACTACTTGCAGGACCCCCCCTCGAATTCGGGCGACATCCTGACCTCCCCGACCGAGTTCTGCAAGCCATGCCCGCCGAACGCTGCCTGCCCGGACAACACTACCCTTTCTTCCCTCGTCCTCCCGCCCGGCTTCTGGCGCGCCAACCCCTCCTCCGCGGTGCTGACAGAGTGCCGCCCCTTTGGCGGCGATGCCAACGCCGGCAAGACGCGATGCGCCAGCAGCGAGTCGACAGCAGGCGCCTCTCGCCGCCGGAGGATGGCGGAGGCGGGCTCGGAGTACTGCGCGTCGGACTTCAAAGGCCCCGAGTGCCAGCTCTGCGCCGCGGAGAATCACTACCTCATCGACGGCGACGAGTGCAAGGAGTGCACTCCGCGCGGTGCCGCTGCGGGCCGCATCGTCGGCCTCGTCCTCGGCCTCTGCGTCGCTTGCGGCCTCGCGGCGTATTGCTACAGCAAACCGTGGCGGAAGGAGCCGTACATCGGCCCTATCCTCCGCTTTGCAGACCGCTCCGTCAAGTACTACGTCGGGGTCGGAATGACGGCCAAGGTCAAGATCCTCTTCGGCTTCTACCAGATTTGCACCGTCTTGTCGTCTACCTACTCCGCGCGGCTGCCGGACAAGTACACGAGCTGGACGGACCAGCTGGCCAACGTGATCTCCATCGACTGGTCAGGCGTCTTCCTGCCGAAGCAATGCCTTGACTACGACTTGCGGCTCCTCGCCATCGCTCTCTCCCCCGTCGCCCTCATCGCGCTGCTAATGATCGCGGGAATAAGTCTGCGGCTCCACCGCTGGCGTGCTGCCTCTGCGCCGCGCGCGAGGCCGTGGTACGCGGAGGCGGCCCTCGGCCTCCTCGACCTCACGCCGGCCGGCCTCGTGCTCGTCTTCTGCTTCGTGCCCTCCATCAGCGCCTCCATCTTCCGCTCCTGGTCGTGCCAGGCGCCCTCTCACAGCTGACTGCCGTTGCTCACAACCGCACCCCTCAGTCCTCGCGACGTTCTGCTGATAGGCCTACACCGTCTCTCCGCCAAACGAGCCCCTGCGGCAGGTCTCCTACATGCGGCAGGACGCGAGCGTCGAGTGCGGCTCCGACGATCACGGACCCATCACCGACCTCGCCATCGGCTTCATCGTCCTCTGGCCCGCCGGCTCGCTGGTCCTCTTCACGTCGCTCCTCGCCGCTTGCTACAAGCCGCTGCAGGCCAAGACGCCGAATGCTCTGACGCGGGCCACCGCCTTCCTCCACCGGGAGTACGAGAAGACCTGGTACTGGTGGGAGGCGGTCGAGCTGGCGCGCAAGCTCGTGCTGACTGGCTTCGTGCTGCTGATACCGGAGGAGCGAGCCTTTGTTCGCCTCGTGGTGGCGACCCTGATCTGCTCCTGCTACGCCGTCGCACTCGCCGTCGTTCGGCCGTACAAGCGGGTCGAGGACAACGTGGTCGCCGTCGCCACGAGCCTCGTGCTCCTCCTGCTCTTCCTCGGCACCAACTGGAGCACCATCTTCCTCGGCATCGAGGAGCGGTATCAAGGAGCCGACCCCGCCGATGTCCTCGGCTTTGGCCAGCTCAATGTGATCGTCGACTCGATGATCATCCTCGTTGCAGTCGTGCTCGCCTTCTTCCTCGTCGGCGCCATCGCCGCCGCCCGCCGCGTCGCCAAGATCCCCACGATCCGACTCGCTTCGACCAAGCAACCTCCCGAGCTGAGCATCGTGATGGGCCTCACGTGGCACCTCTTCAACAGCCACATCTGGTGAGTCATAACGACATGGAGGGAGAAGACGAATAGCAACCCCGCTATAGAGTCACCACCACCTCCGAATAGGTCGACCGGTCAGGACGCCGTCAAGGTCATCAAGGGTGAGCTCCAGCAGCTGCTGCCGGACATCAAGATTTTTCTCGACGCACGCGCTCGCTCAGCAGCGCTGCGGAGCTACAGGCAGCCCCTCTGACACCCCGCGGTGTGCGCACAGGTAGATGATCTAAAAGACATCGGGGCGCTCGAGGAGTACATCCAACGCTCGCAAGTGATGCTCTTCTTCCTCTCGAGGGGCTACTTCCGCTCCAAGGTGCGCGCCTCCCCCTCCCACCCCGCCTCTACCGCACTCTGGCCTTACCTCCCGCCTCTCCCGCGCCTCAGAACTGCCTCCGCGAGATCCGCTCGTCGCTCGAGAAGGACAAGCCGCTCGTCCTCGTCCAAGAAGCGGACCCTGACAAGGGCGGCGGGACGCTGCAGGCGCTGCGCGCCGAGTGCCCCGAGGAGCTGCAGCCGGCCATCTTTGACAAGGACTGGCCGCTCACGATCTGGTATCGCATCGATGAGTTTCAGCTCATCTCGCTCAAGATCATCGCCGAGGCGCCGCCGGCCACAGCCAGCCGCTCCGCAGTCCCTCTCTCCCGACCGACTCCACTTGAAACACCCTAGGCTGTGCTCCTCTGCTCGCCCAACTATCTGAGCAAGACCTCTCTCCCGCTCTGCGTGTCGGGCGAGCCCGAGAGCCAGTCGCTCGCCTTTTTCAAACCGTGCACGCTCTGGGCCTCGCCGGCCAACGCGGGGGCACTGGACCTGGCCAACGAGATCGCTGCCGCCTTTGCCGGCCTCACGATCGCCACCGCCGATGCTCGGCCGGCCACCGCGACGCACATGCTGCTCTACCTCAACAAGGACAGCTTCGTCAGCGACGAGCGGCTGGCCGAGCAGGTCAAGCAGGCGCGCGAGGACAGGCTGAAGATCGTCACTGCGCACGAGAACGACCCGGACCTCGGCGGCTGCCAGTTCTCGAAGCTTTTCGAAACCACGCCGCAGGTGCGATGTCACACAGTGACGCCCGTCCCGAGCCTCCCCTCCCCCCACACGCCTCCTCCCAACGCCGCAGGAGCTCATTGCCGGCGGACTCTACAAGGACCTGGCAAAGTCGTGCTTCCCCGGGCGCCACCGCACGGCGCGTGCCCTTTCTCCCACAGCTCGCTTTGCACGCATCGAGCTTCGTGACGAAGGGCGGTCCCTGGCTGCAGGTGTCGCTCGTGCTTTTGGCAAAGAGCCTCGGCGCGACCCCCGCTCGGTCGCGGGCGGACCAACTCGTTTCGGGCAGCATCGCCGAGCGCGGCAGCCTCGTGGTGAAGCGCAGCCTTGGCGGCCTCAGCCGCGTGTTCGCCAAGACGAGCAGCCGCAGCTCTGCGGAGGCTTCGGTGCGCGATGTCTCTGGAGGCGAGGCGTCATCATCGGCATCGGTGCCGGTGCAGCAGCAGGTCTGATCGGCTGCAAGGTTGTGCGCAAAGATCCAAAGTGCGGCGCGGCGATGCACCGACACACACGGCATTGGGCGTTTGGGGAGAGGGGGGGGGGGGGGGCTGTCACACTCGCACTTCTTTTTCTTGTTGTATGGGAGTTCGCTTGTCATAGTAAAATACTAGTCGACAAGCTGCCGAGCCCAAATCACTGTGTGTGACACATTTCTTGTTGGCTTCTAAAAATCTCTCTCTCTCTGATGCGGCGTGGGGCCGGCGGCGGCACTGTGCTGCCGCGCACACTGCGCTGTGGGCGTCACCATCGTGTCCTCGCCGCGTCGCCGACGCCACTTGCTGCTCGCGGCTTGCCCTGCCCTTCCCTGCCAGCGCGCAAACAAACACACACACACACACACACACACACACACACACACACACACACCTACCAGCTACCTACCTATCCCCAGGCTGCCGCGCAGCGAAGCGAATAAAGATGAAAATAGGGAGTACTCGACCTATTGCAGGGCCCTTTTGGGCGAAACAAGACCAACCTACCTACCTATCTGGGTAGGTAGGTAGGTAGAAAGGTGAAGAACAGCCAGGCTCGGACTGGACACCAACGCGGTATGGGTGGACGCTAGACAGATGATGACGACACGCACGAGCGACACACAGACACAAACAGGCTCACAAGACACACAGCTAGCTGGCTGCCACACACCCTGAGTTGGCGTATACACATAACTCAATCCTCCCTGTCGCCCCCCCCCCAGCACTCCACGGTGCCAAGAGAACAAACAAGGGCACAACAAACAACAGACAACAGGAAGTAACATGCGAGGCTAGAGCAGGCCTGCTCCACCTCTAGCAATCTCGCGGGCCGGCGAGGCACGGACGAGACTGTGTGTGGGGTCTAGTGAGGTGTCTATGGACGCCCTCATAGGCTAGCTGCCTACTGCTAGCCCTATCTCGCACTCACGGGTGATGACAATTCATTGTATGAGTGTATGCGAGCAGAGGCGTGCTGGTGCTGATGATGCTGCTGGTGCGGCGCGGCTCTCCGACTCGACTCGAGGCGCGCGTCGCGGCAATCTGACGCGGCGGGCGGCGTCGCGGGCGGCAGCGATCGCGGCTCGACGGTGGAGGCGGAGGGTGGTGGCTGTGGTGGATCTTTGAGTTTATTTCATGGCTGCTGTTAGCTGCTGCAGCTGCTGCTGCTGCTGCTGCTGCTGCTCCGCTGCTGCTGATTGTGGCTACGATTTCTCCGATCACCCCGCCCGCCCGCTCCGCCCCGCCCGCCCACCTCTCCCCGCTTGCCCGCCCGCCCGCCCGCCCGCCCGCCCGCCCGACCGACCGACCGACCGACCACCCATTCCCATCACCATCTCACATACCTTCATATAGGCGCTCGAGACCTCCTCTCGCTGCCTACTCGCTGCCTCGAGGGAGGAGGGGAAGACGTAGGGCGCGCGCAACCGCGCTCGCCTTCCAACCGAGGCCCCTCCCCGAAAGGCAAGTCTTAGCCACATGAAATCCGAGACCCCTCCCCACCACCCCAATCCCCCCACCCCCTTGCTCCCCTCCCCCCCTCGGGAGGGCCGAACTGAGGCGCCCGAGGGGACCCCGCAATTCCCTTCCCCCCTCGGAGGGGGCCGGACGAGGCGTACCCCGAGGGCCCCACTCTTTCCCTCGCATAGCGGCCACTCTTCGGATCGCTGGTCGACCCGGGGGATGCCCCGCGCGCCTGACCCAGGCGCGAGAAACGAATCTGCGAGGCGTGGCCGCTTATGCGGCCCGATGGGGAGGAACGGGGCGAGCCCCCTCCAACCCACCCGCGCTAGGTCCTGGGTGACGTAGGGGAAACCCGGCGAGCCTCGGGAACTAGCCGGGGCAGTCGGAGAAGGGGCAACTCCGTGCACTGACGGTCGGCCGCCAGAAAACACGCCTGCGTGGATCGCGTCACACCAATCCTCGCTACCCAACGCGGCCAAAGGATATCCACCTGAAAGAAAGAAAGAAAACAGACACGCCAAACGAGGGATGGGAGGAGGACAGGGTCCCCACCTGCACGAGCAGGATTTTGGAAGAACGATCAGGGGGACAGGTGGGGCTCTCCTGCTCCTGACAAGGGACACGACAGGTTCGCAGCGCGGTGCGCGGATATCCACCTCAAGAACCTCGAAGTGCGAAACGATTTCTTGAAGCTGCGTCTCTACTCCAGGTCCAAGCTCCGTCGCCGGCTGGTCATGCAGCGCCGCACCGAGCCGCTCGAGTGCGGAGACCACGCGGCTGAGGTGTCACGGAGGCCCGCCGTGCGGCCCAGCGTCTTGGATCGAGGCACGACCGGAGCCTCTCGTCGCCGTCAGCCAGCCTCTTCGTCGACGTCCGCGCCAGCCGCTGCCGGCGCACGAAGCTGCCCCGCGTGCACCTTCATCTGCACGGACGACAGCCGCTCCTCGTGCGAGATGTGCGCCGGACCGCTGCCGGCGAGGCGCGTGGATATCGACCTGACTGAGAGCGGGGACGAGGATGCGGCCTCGCCGCGGAGGAAGGCGCCCCGCCGCGCGGCCGAGGCGGTGGCGCCGCCGCCGCGCGGCTCCGCCGCCACCGCCTCCGACAAGGAGTGCCCCATCTGCATGGACCCGCTCGGGACTGACGGCGGCGTGCAGGCGCTGGGCTGCATGTGCTGCTTTTGCCGCGCGTGCATCGCCACGTCGGTGGGGAGGCAGCGCTCCATCGGCGAGGCGGTGACGTGTCCCATCTGCCGGCGCGCCCGCCCTAGATGGCGCCGGCAGATGGCGGGGGACACGCGGCGGCGCCGCGGCGCCGTCTCAAGCCCACCCCGCACTCGCGCTGCATGACACGCATGTCCCCCAGCCGTCTTCACACCGTCTCCACACCGCCTGGCGCGTCGGCACGGAGCTGTGCGGCGCCAACCGTCGAGAGCATCTCTGCCATCGTCGCCACCTCCACCGGGCCGTGTCCGGCATGCACGAGACGCGCACACGCGCCCCGCGCAGACGCGCCCATCTCCTCCCGGCCAGGTACGTCATCCCGCACGAGGAGCAGTTCGCCTTCCTCGGCGACGCGCGGCCACTCGAGGACTCGGAGGAGGACGAGGACGAGGATAGCGATGGTGACAGTGAGGAGGGCGAGGAGGGCGAGGAGGGCGAGGAGGGCGAGGAGGGCGAGGAGGGCGAGGAGGGCGAGGAGGAGGGCGAGGAGGGCGAGGCGGGCGAAGGCGACAGCGAGGAGGGCGACAGCGATAGTGAGACTCGAGCTCGAGCTCTCTCTTGGATACTATCGATGTCCACAATTCCATGATCATAATTCCCCCTTGGTGGCGTGCGCCCGCAAGTGGGCGCGCAGCACGTGCGGCTGCGGGGCCGCGCGGCATCCGGATCAGCTGGACGAGATGGAGTGGCACAGTCATTTTCTCTCCACCAAGCTCGCCGTCGCGCGGTATCCTATACAAAGCCGTACGGCATTTTCGACATATAGGGCCAAAGCGCAAAGCCGACGGACGTTGGGCGATTAAAAGTGTCAGGATTTTGGGCGCCGCGCCCGGGGCCCGGCGGCCGGGGGAGGCGAGCTCAAACACTCGCGGCGCCCTCATATATCGCTCTCTGAGCTCTCCCACTGCTAATACGAGGCAGAAACGAAGGCGCGAGCTTGAGCGCGCGCCAGAACGCCGGCCCCGGCGGCCGTGAGCGTGACGGCCACGGCAGCGGCGACCTCGAGCGACGAGATTGGCTCGACCACCTGGATGGTCGAGCGACGAAGCGAAAGTGGGCGACGGGGTGGGGAGGAGTGGCGGGACACGTGAGATATAACTTGGGACGGCGGAAGGGGGCTCACCTCGCCATCGATGTAGTGCATCGCCTTTGGACTCACGGCCGCCACGACGAGGCGGGCGAGGGAGGGGCAGACCGCCTCGACGAGCGGGACGAGGTACTTGTTGCGCGCGACGACGGCCGCGCTGTTGTACGAGGTCGCGACGCCGTCGACGACCGGCCAGCCTCCGTGCTTGGTGAGCGGGCTGTGCAGCCCTTCGGCCTCGACCGAGGCGATCCCGAGGACGGGCGCCTGGGGGGGGGGGGGGGGATTCAGCATCAACAAGAGCCGGGAGTGATATGCTGGGCTATTGGCGCGCGCCTGCACGAGCGTGCCCGCGGCCGGCGACGCGATCCAGACCGTCTCTCCGACGGCAACCTCGGACGCCTGCTTGAGCGCCTTTGCCGGGCCGGCGGGCAGCTTGTGCGTCGGGGTGAGCGTGACCGTCGCCGTTGCGGTCGTCAGCGAGAGGAAGGCCGCCTTGGCGGACGGGTCGGCCAGCGAGAAGGAGGAGACGACGTCGAAGCCGAGGGTGCCTGGTAGAAAAGAAGCGACAGTGAATCAAGTGAAGCCCCTCTCACCCGGCATCGAAAGCGAGGGTGCCGTCCGCCGCCGCCGCGAGGATCGAGTCGCCGGCGGAGAGGGAGGAGAGGGGGGCGGTCTCGCCGTCGGCGCGCTGCACCGTCGCCGAGCTCGGGAAGCACGGCGGGTCCGTGGACTGCGGCTCCACGTCAGGTGAAGGCGACGAGGGCGGCGGCGGCGTGGGCGGGGCGGAGGGCGGCGGCGGCGCGACCGCGCGCGGCTCGGTGTCCTCGCGTTCGTTGACATTGGGGTCGACCTCGCTGACGGGCTGATTCAGGATATTGCCGGCTTGGGTTGCAGACATCTGAGCGAACTCATAGCTCGCGTTGCGCACGGCGGAGAGTGTGTTGCCATCCTTGAACACGCTCGCCGTGCTCGAAGCAGTCGTTTGCGCAGTCTGGAGTGCCCGACGGGCTGCCGATTGCTCGACGGGGTGGAGCGTCACGGTGAGGACGCACTCTGGCGCGAAGCAAAGCTGCGCAGAGCGGAAGGAGGCCTCGAGTTCGGTGACGTCGATGCCGTTCACTTCGGCGGAGATCGTGACAGCGATGGTGAACTCGATCACGGACACTTCCTCCACGACAACGCCCTCGGGGAGGGGTGAAAAGGGCGGCCGCGAGGGCGGCGGCGGCGAGGGTGACGGCGGCGACGGCGAGCCGGAGGGAGGCGGCGGCGCCGCCGGCGGAGGGGCAGGCGGCGACGGCGAGGCCGACGGAGGCGGCGGCGACGGCGACGCGGACGGAGGCGGCGGCGCAGGCAAGGCGGAGGGAGGCGGCGGCGGGTACGAGGCCGGCGGAAGCGCAGGGGGGGACGGCGACGGGAGCATCATGCACGTCTCAATTCGGTCAAGGGGCCGATCAATGCTCTGCCCATAGTAATCGTATCCTGACCCCATCATCGCGTCATAGACGCAGCGGCGCACCGGTTTCGTGGGGTCGTCCGCGATGTTCGTGTAGCACTCGGTAGTCTCCTGGACGAGGTCGTCGGTGGATTTGGGGCCGTCCTTGTAGGTTTTCGTCGGGTCGCCAGGCAGGCACGGGTTTCCGTACGATGGGGGCCTGTTGCCAGTCTTTTTCACGATTGCGTTGCACAAGACGCACGGGTCGAAGGCCGCCCCGATGACAAAGATGAGCGCGTCGAATCCCGGGGCGGCGGGAGAGGCGACGACCGCGGTCGTCACAGAGTCCACGTCGATGTCGAGGAGGAGCCGAGACGTGACGGCGATCGCCTCGCCGTCGGGGAGATTCGACGTGCCGTTGGGGAAGCCCAGCCCGAAGAAGCCGCTGCCAACCTGCGGCGTCATGTCATCGAGAAGGGCGGTGATGTCGCTCTCGTCAACGGCGCCCGTGACCGCAATCTCGATGGTCGAAGCCTTGCCGTCGGTGGGCGTGTTGGGCGAGGCAAACAGGTAGAGGTTGTTGCTCTTGTCCTGCACGACGGTCGCCACACGGGGCGTCGAGGTAAACGGGACGCAGGTCAAGATGCAGATCACGGTTGTGCTCGACGAGAAGTCGATGTACACGCTGTCCATGTCCGTGCCGGAGGTGAAGGTGACAGTCATGACGAGGCCGGCGGGGTGGGTGTCGCCCGAGCCACCCATGTCGCCGACGCCGACTTCCTTGTTGTTCGTGTTGATAGTCGCAGTGAGGCCGTTCTCGGCGGCGACGCTCTCGATCACGCCGTTGGCAAAGGCGACCTCGACGGTTTGCCAGGAGAGGGCGGTGTCCGCGTCGATGAGTACGGACGGGTACATGTGCATGTACGTACCGATCGTTGCCGTGTCGCTCGAGTACGCAAAGATCTGCATCGTCTGCCCGATCTTGCGCCCAAAGATCGTGCCGTACGTTCCGGTGCTATCGAGCGAGCGCCGGGCGCGGGGTGTGGCCAAGAGCGCCGCCTCTGTCTCCTGCTGGCCGCCGCCGCCCGTTCTGCTGCCGCCACGGTTTCCGTCGTACATCTGGCGCCGGGCGACGATCGAGGCGACCGCACCATCATCCGAGCCAGGGGCGTAGCCAGCGATGGCCCGAGTGTCTGCCGCGAGAAAAGCCAGCAAAAGCAGGCGGGTGACTGCCATTTTGAGCTCAGCCGAGATGCCTTGTTGGCAGCAACCTTCAGCAACCCTTCCGGCACCCTCGGACAGTGAGTATGTGTGTGTGTGTGTGTTCATTATAGCGGTGTGTCGTGCGCAAAACGCCACTTGCCGCGAAAACCTTCACTTTACTGTCACTTCGGGGCAAAAATCACCTACGGGTATGTTCGTAAGAGCTACATACACTGAAAAACCGTCACTTGGTAGGAAACTAAAACTTGGTAGGCCGGGAAGTTTCGCAGTGATCCGCACACTGCGCTCCAAGTGCTGTCCAAGTGCTGTCTAACCCTCTCCAGCCAGACGACACGTTCCCCGCAGGCGTGCGGCCCCGCCAGCGAGCTGAGGACGGACTGCGTGCAACTCTCAGTCAGGCAGCGGCAGGACGCTCCCGATCAGGGCGCGCACTCGATCGCCTTGTAGGCGCCAAACTCGCAAAAGCGGCAGAGTGTCTTGCCGCCCGCGTTGCAACCCAGCCCCCCGGCCGCGCAGCCCGGGTCGTAGAAGCACGTCTCGAAGATGTTGCCAGTGCAGAGCCCCGCCTTGCAGGAAGCTCCCGGGGTGGATGGCGGCGGTGGCGACGGCGACGCGGAAGGAGGTGGACCATTGCGATTTCCTGCGAAGACGTAGAACTTGCACACCGTCAGCCCCGCCGCAGACGGCCGGTTGAGGTAGATGTAGCGCCCCAACGCGTTGATCTCCACCTCCAACATCACGTTCGACAACACGCTCACGTCTGACTTCACCAGCGCGTTGCCCGTGTACGTCTCCGCCGTCGAGCCGAGATAGATGTCGACGTCCGTCAGCCGCTCCGCGCAGCAGTCGTTGCGGTTCTGCAGCCGCACGTAACGCACATACACCTCGCTCCCGAGGTCGACGCCCCACCATTGGCTTGTGTACTGGCCGCACTCGGCCCACGGCCGTCCCGTCGTGCTGTCGGCGTATGACAGGTCGCTCACGGGCGCCTGCTTGTCGAACAAGCTCGAGTCCTGGTACGTGGTGGCGGCGCGGAGGTCGAGCAGCTGCACGTCAGGCGGCGGCGGCGACGGCGAGGCCGACGGCGGCGGCGGAGAGGGCGAGGCGGACGGCGGCGGCGCAGGCAGGGCGGAGGGAGGCGGCGGCAGAGGCGGCGGCGGCGACGGCGAGGCGGACGGCGGCGGGGAGGGAGAGGCGGAGGGAGGCGGTGGCGACGGCGACGCGGAAGGAGGTGGCGGGGAGGGAGAGGCGGAGGGAGGCGGCGAGGGCGACGCGGACGGAGGCGGCGGCGACGGCGACGCGGAGGGCGGCGGCGGCGAGGGCGAGGCCGACGGAGGCGGCGGCGACGGCGACGCGGATGGCGGCGGCGGCGACGGCGAGGCCGACGGAGGCGGCGGGGACGGCGACGCGGAGGGAGGCGGTGGCGACGGCGACGCGGAAGGAGGTGGACCATTGCGATTTCCTGCGAAGACGTAGAACTTGCACACCGTCAGCCCCGCCGCAGACGGCCGGTTGAGGTAGATGTAGCGCCCCAACGCGTTGATCTCCACCTCCAACATCACGTTCGACAACACGCTCACGTCTGACTTCACCAGCGCGTTGCCCGTGTACGTCTCCGCCGTCGAGCCGAGATAGATGTCGACGTCCGTCAGCCGCTCCGCGCAGCAGTCGTTGCGGTTCTGCAGCCGCACGTAGCGCACATACACCTCGTTCCCGAGGTCGACGCCCCACCATTGGCTTGTGTACTGGCCGCACTCGGCCCACGGCCGTCCCGTCGTGCTGTCGGCGTATGACAGGTCGCTCACGGGCGCCTGCTTGTCGAACAAGCTCGAGTCCTGGTACGTGGTGGCGGCGCGGAGGTCGAGCAGCTGCACGTCAGGCGGCGGCGGCGACGGCGAGGCGGACGGCGGCGGCGGAGAGGGCGAGGCGGACGGTGGCGGCGCAGGCAGGGCGGAGGGAGGCGGCGGCAGAGGCGGCGGCGGCGACGGCGAGGCGGACGGCGGCGGGGAGGGAGAGGCGGAGGGAGGCGGTGGCGACGGCGACGCGGAAGGAGGTGGCGGGGAGGGAGAGGCGGAGGGAGGCGGCGGCGAGGGCGACGCGGACCGAGGCGGCGGCGACGGCGACGCGGATGGCGGCGGCGGCGACGGCGAGGCCGACGGAGGCGGCCGGGACGGCGACGCGGAGGGAGGCGGTGGCGACGGCGACGCGGAAGGAGGTGGCGGGGAGGGAGAGGCGGAGGGAGGCGGTGGCGACGGCGACGTGGAAGGAGGTGGCGGGGAGGGAGAGGCGGAGGGAGGCGGCGGCGAGGGCGACGCGGAAGGAGGTGGCGGCGACGGCGAGGCGGATGGCGGGGGCGGCGACGGCGACGCGGAGGGTGGCGGTGGCGACGGCGACGCGGAAGGAGGTGGCGGGGAGGGAGAGGCGGAGGGTGGCGGCGGGGATGGCGACGCGGAGGGAGGCGGTGGCGACGGCGACGCGGAAGGAGGTGGCGGGGAGGGAGAGGCGGAGGGAGGCGGCGGCGAGGGCGACGCGGACGGAGGCGGCGGCGACGGCGACGCGGATGGCGGCGGCGGCGACGGCGAGGCCGACGGAGGCGGCGGTGACGGCGACGCGGAGGGAGGCGGTGGCGACGGCGACGCGGAAGGAGGTGGCGGCGACGGCGACGCGGAGGGAGGCGGTGGCGACGGCGACGCGGAAGGAGGCGGCGGGGAGGGAGAGGCGGAGGGAGGCGGCGGCGACGGCGAGGCGGACGGAGGCGGCGGCGACGGCGACGCGGATGGCGGCGGCGGCGACGGCGAGGCCGACGGAGGCGGCGGGGACGGCGACGCGGAGGGAGGCGGTGGCGACGGCGACGCGGAAGGAGGTGGCGGGGAGGGAGAGGCGGAGGGAGGCGGCGGCGAGGGCGAGGCGGACGGAGGCGGCGGCGACGGCGACGCGGATGGCGGCGGCGGCGACGGCGAGGCCGACGGAGGCGGCGGGGACGGCGACGCGGAGGGAGGCGGTGGCGACGGCGACGCGGAAGGAGGTGGCGGGGAGGGAGAGGCGGAGGGTGGCGGAGGCGAGGGCGACGCAGACGGAGGTGGCGGCGACGGCGAGGCGGACGGCGGCGGCGGGGAGGGCGAGGCCGACGGCGGCGGCGGCGCGGGCGAGCCGGACGGCGGCGGCGGCGGGTACGAGGCCGGCGGAAGCGCAGGCGGGGACGGCGACGGGAGCATCATGCACGTCTCAATTCGGTTAAGGGGCTCCCCGTTATATTTCCCATCGTAATCGTATCCTGACCCCTCCTTGTAGTCATAGACGCAGCGGCGCACCGGACTCTCGTCCGCGATGTTCGTGTAGCACTCGGTAGTCAACTGGACGAGGTCGGCGGAGGATTTGGGGCCGTCCTTGTAGGTTTTCGTCGGGTCGCCAGGCAGGCACGGGTTTCCGTACGATGGGGGCCTGTTGCCAGTCTTTCTCACGATTGCGTTGCACAAGACGCACGGGTCGAAGGCCGCCCCGATGACAAAGATGAGCGCGTCGAATGCCGGGGCGGCGGGAGAGGCGACGACCGCGGTCGTCACAGAGTCCACGTCGATGTCGAGGAGGGGCCGAGACGCGACGGCGATCGCCTCGCCGTCGGGGAGATTCGACGTGCCGTCGAGGATGGTCAGCCCGAAGAAGCCGCTGCCAACCTGCAGCGTCATGTCAGTGAGAAGGGGGGTGATGTCGCTCTCGTCAACGGCGCCCGTGACCGCAATCTCGATGGTCGAAGCCTTGCCGTCGGTGGGCGTGTTGGGCGAGGCAAACAGGTAGAGGTTGTTGCTCTTGTCCTGCACGACGGTCGCCACACGGGGCGTCGAGGTAAACGGGACGCAGGTCAAGATGCAGATCACGGTTGTGCTCGACGAGAAGTCGATGTACACGCTGTCCATGTCCGTGCCGGAGGTGAAGGTGACAGTCATGACGAGGCCGGCGGGGTGGGTGTCGCCCGAGCCAGCCATGTCGCCGACGCCGACTTCCTTGTTGTTCGTTTTGATAGTCGCAGTGAGGCCGTTCTCGGCGGCGACGCTCTCGATCACGCCGTTGGCAAAGGCGAGCTCGACGGTTTGCCAGGAGAGGGCGGTGTCCGCGTCGATGAGCACGCCGGACGTACCGATCGTTGCCGTGTCGCTCGAGTACGCAAAGATCTGCATCGTCTGCCCGATCTTGCGCCCAAAGATCGTGCCGTACGTGTCGGTACTCGCGAGCGATCGCCGGGCGCGGGGCGTGGCCAAGAGCGCCCCCGCGGCCTTCTGCTCGCCGCCGCCGCCGCCGCCGCCGCCGCCGCTGCCGCTCAGGCCGGGGGCGGCCACGACCGAGGCGGGGGCGTGCTTCGCGAGGAGGAGCCCGGGCTCGCCCCGCACCGCCGCGGCCGGGCCGAGGAGGAGGAGGAGGGAGAGAAGAAGGGAAGACATGTGTATATACGCATCGTTTCACTGCTCGGCGTGCGCCACGCCACCCCAAAGACACCCTCAAAGAGTGGATCCAAGAGTGCTCCAAGTGGCTGCAAGGCGCGCGATACACGTTTCTTTGGGGTACTGACTGCGTGCTCCGCTCACATAGACGCACAACCTCGGGCCTGAAATCGCACAGAGACAGTCACGCAACACGGGGTCCCAGGGAAGGCCAGCAAAAACCTTATTTATCGCGCGCGCTAGATGCCGACTCGGAGGCGCACCGGTCAGGCGCGCGGCCGGAGAGAGAGGGAGGCGCTCAATCGCCGCACGCGCGGCGAGCGCCTCCATCATAGCGGGGCGGACTACGGGGATCGGCTTCTTTCTTACACAGCCCTTCTGACGGTCGGCCGCCAGAAACCACGCCTGCGTGGATCGCGTCACACCAATCCTCGCTACCCAACGCGGCCAGGGAGTGTCTTTGGCTCACGCCAGGGCGCTCGTTGCTCCTCCTCTCTTTGTATCTTCCATACTGCGTTTATCAGAAGACGTATGGTTCTTGCACTTGTGCAAGATTGGGCGTCTTCTGCCGCAGTCCCTTAGAACACACAAATTGATGGGAGGCCCCAGGGTGGGGGCCACCCACCTCGAACCCCCAGCCAGGGATATTCTTTTTGTATCTTCCACTAGCAGGTTGGCTCGCTAGTCGCTCGCCGGCCCGCGCAGCACGCGCGGGCCTTTTTTGTGGTCGGATGTTGGTCGTCTCGAATTTGATCGTGGGCAGGGCGTGAGAAAGCTGGACGGCTCGGTCGATGCGAGCCACCAGCTCGTGAGCGACGGGCGCGACGGGTTCCTCGGCGTAGGCTTGGGCGTGGTGAGCAGCGCCGGCGAGAGAGGGACGGCATGCGGCTCCCAAACGAGCCGCACGGGCTTCATCTGGGCCGCCGAGGCCACCTCCTTGGTCGCGGTGGCGGGCGTGAAGGCGAGGTGGGCCGAGGCAAGCGCTGAACGTGCCGTGCCGCCTTGCGCCCCTGAGGAGGGACGAGTGTGTGGGGTGCCACGGGCGGGGGGAGCGGTGAGAGGAGAGCGGTGGGCACCCCCACGAGGGGCTGCGCTGACGCCGCCTGCCACCCCACGCACGCCACTGACGCTGTGGGGGCGGCACGATCGAACGCGCTGGTCGGGCGGGCCGTCTGAGTCGCCCAAGCGGTGCTCTGCCGGCCGGTGGACGCGAGGGTGGCCCAAGAGGGCTCAAAGTACGGAGCCGATACCCGGCCGTCCCGGACGCCTGGCACGCGGGCCAATGGTCCAGCGGTCCTGTGCATGGCTGGAGCGAAGGAGGGAGAGCTCAGGAGGGCGACGGGGCAGGGAAGGGGGCGATGCGATGCGGCGAGGTCTAATCGGCGGCGTGGAGAGAGGAGGTGCCAAAAGGCGACTATAAAGAGGCCTCTACGGGTGATATAGTGCGCCATGCCGGCGGGAGAGGTCTCTCACCGCCCCCCGGGCCGTCTCGAAGGGCCGTGCAGCCCACGCCACGAGGCGCTGCTGGCGGGAGCCTGGAAGGACTTGGCCTCGTTGCACCGCGCCGCGTTGATTCGCGACCACCGTCGGCCGCGGACGGCGTCGGCGTGGCGGCCGCGGGCGCTCGCGAGACGCGCCGCTCTGCGCTGGTTCGGTTCGTTCGACTCGTTGTGCCGCCGCACGCCCGGCGGCCGCGGGTCCCAGAAGTGGTTGCGCGGGCCTCTTCCTTTCGGCCGCGGGACGGCGTCGGGCACGTCGTCGGTCGCAACAGCGGCGCGGCGAGCCGTGGCACGTCGTTGCTGGCGCTGGTGGTTTGAGGTCGGCATCGTCCAGAGCTCGGTCGACGAGTCGAGAGCTTCAGCTGGTTTGGTTTAATGTTTGTGCGGAAAGTGGCAAATATATCTCTTCTACCCTTATAAGTCTCTCGTGTCGGCGCCGACGCTCTTGGTTTAACCGTAGAACGTCCCAGCCGAAATCCGCCCGCTCGCGCCCCTTCCCCCCCTCTGACGCCGCCGTATGACCGTAGGTGAGGGGCACCACTACCCGCCTGGAAGGCGCTCTCATCAGCAAGTCACCCAGGCACCAACTCCTGGGCGTTTACGCTTGACTACGAAACCATGCAGTGGATGCAGCTCGATCAAAACGGCGACGCCAACAGCTGGTCCCTGGGCGAGTTCCTCGCCCAGGATGAGGTGCGAGTCATGATGCTCGACCCAGCGTGCACCAAGTCGCTCACATTCCGTGAGTTCGTCAAGGGCCGAACACACTCTCCAAGTCGACTGCGATCTCGAACTCCGACAACTGGACCGGTGCACCGGAGGACGATGGCTCCCTCGACGACATCCCTTCATCGACGGACGCCTTCACCGCCGCCGGCCCTGGGCCATCCAGCGCGGCCTCCGACGGCCTGCACGTGATCGAGCGGGTACAGAAACGGTGGCTGCCGCAGCTCACACCCTAATCGATCTGCCTTAGGCACGGAGCCAACGGAGCCATCGCGCATGCCCGCATCGCGTGCGGCTCCGAGGTCTCCCGCCGAGACCGGCTCGGCGCGGCGCGTGGCCGCACGCCGCCGTTGAAAAGGCGAGATAGGACCGAGGGGAGAGCGCCGGCCACATCGAGCGAGCGCTGACGTGTAAGGTGTCTGTGCTGCTCCGGTGTGTGTGGGATTCTGCCCCCCCCCCCCCCCCCCATCTGTGCGGCGAGTTGTTTGCGGCGCGATGCCCGATCGTGCGCGATAGCCTCCCATTGTGCGTGGTGTGTCGGTGTGTGTCGGGGTCGTCCGGAGCGTGTGGCGGCGCCCTTGCATGCAGCGACTGCTCCACGTGCCACGACTGCTTTGACTGCCGTGACTGACTGATGAGTGCCACGACTGCTTTGACTGACGTGACTGACTGATGAGACATGAGTGCTGATGGATGATCTCCGACAACCCAAAACCAAAATGCAAATGCGGAGTGGCGCCACTTTGGCGTGCAGATCCTGCGTCTCTCACTGCCCGAACAACAGAGACGGGTACCGCCGCAGGTCCCACACTAGTTGATACATACTGCGTTTACCGGTATCAGAAGACCCACAGTGCTGAGTGCTCCACGCGTGGGAACCCGTGGGCCCGAGGGATGTACAACCGCTCCACGCCATGATCAGGTCCTCCTCCTCCTCTCTCTCCTCTCTCTCCGAGAAGGAGTCGCCCGCGGCCGCCGTCGCGGGCTCCGCCGCGGCGCAGGTTCGCTCACCACACGACACACAATGCCCGGCGGCTGTCTCAACCCTGACCGACTCCGACATTAGGCCTTTCTCGCCTCCATCAGCCTCACATCCCAACCGGCTGCGACTCGTCATCGCTGCTGCGCCCGCGCCGGAGCCGCCTCGCGCACCGCAGGGCGGTGCTCACAACCGCCTGCAGCCACGGTCGGCGCGGCCGGTCTCTGCGTCGCCGCAGGCGAGGCGGGCAGCGCGTCGAGCGGCTGCAGTGCGCCGTGCGGCTCCGACCTCGACGCGGGAGGCGGCGCAGGTCCATCCGACGCTATCGGCTGCGGCGGCGACGCTGACGGCGGCGGCGACGAAGCGTGCTCTGGCGGCAGCTGCGCAGGCCGCGATGCTGCGGCCGCTGCGGCGCCCACCAACCGGGCCTCGCCTCAAGGGTTGAGTTGGCCATTGAGTGCATTCGTTCCTGATAGGCGCTCGCCTTCCTGTCCGGCCTTCTGCTCGAGGCGCCAGGCTCTCGCTCCCTGTCTGCAGACCTCGAGGAGGCGCGCGCCCCGCCCTCCCGCCCTCCCGCCCTCCCACCCTTCCCTTGGCGAGGGTGGCGTGAGAGGCGAGCCGCGCCGAGTCTGCTCCTCTCCCCCGCCCGCACTGCATGATGGACCACACTGCACAGCAGAGGCGTCTCGTGCGCCAGGCCCTCTCCCCTCGCCGCGACGGCGCCCCCTCCGCCGCCGACGCCGAAGCAGCGCTCGAGGGCGGCGCGGGCGGAGCGT